AACATGGGACTCAGGAGTCAGGGCTAGAAGTGGAGAGAGGATGATGTCTGTGAGTTACTATCTTCCCTACACTGAATTCCTTCTTGCCTTGCAAGTTACTTTCCTCATCTTTTGCCAGGAATTTTGAGCTGCCCTGGTTGGATGAACGAAGCAGATGCAGATTGGAGATCCAGAAGAAGCAAACACCTCACAGGACATGTAGGAAGTAGCTGTCCTGGCTAAAACCCTGTCTTAAGATAGTTGTAGCATGTCATCCCACGAGATGGCAGAGACCTGTATATGTGACCTGTGTCCTCATGTATGTCATTTGCTGGTAATGCCTTTCCATACTCCCTTGATTTTAGTTTGGTTTTCTTTACTCTTGACTTCACAAAAACTCTTGTGTTGGGCTAATTGTGAACTACAGAGAGTTATTGGGACTTCTTTTCCCTTTTTGGGGAATGAGCTCTTGAGTTAATCCTATAGGATGGTAGATTGGAAGTTTCAGGGGTCACTTCTACACATTTGCCTATGTTAAAGGGGTACAAGGGCTCTCTTCATTAAACATATGGAAGATGGAGCAACCCCTGCCTTTAGGAGCTGTGCCTGCCTGACCCTTTCCTTCCTTGGTATACCTTCTGAATAGTGTGGGTGTAGTGGTTTTACCCTAAAATAAAGCAAATACCTCCCGTGAGCTTTAGGACCAGATGAGGAATAACAAGTGAAGTGATGAAGCAAGTCATCTTCACAGGGTAGGAAAGAAATTGAAGAGTTGGTAGATAAATGTCTGAGAAGTTAGTTCTCTTAAAACTTCTGTGATGTAGCCATGTGGGGGAGGGATGTGTGGCTGATTATTTTTTGAGTTAATGAGTAACTAAAGTTTTTTCCCCACCTCCTCAAAAAACAAAATCTGTAGAAAAGAGAATGGGGATGTAGGTTTCCAACAAATTATAGCACTAAACAGATGCAGTTGTCATTTGGGGATGGCATGCCAGAGTCCGTATAGATGTCCTTGTGTCACATCACTTCTCAAGTATTCCTTAGTTGGGCTTTATCCTATTAGCTGAACTCTTGGTGATGGGGTGGAAAATTGGGGAGGGTGGGGAGGGTGTGGAAATATGTGCTTCCTTTGGCTGGCAAATGTCTACATCTTGAAACAAACAGTTGTACCTAATGAACTTCTCTATTCATTTTGTAAAAATAGATTTGTATGTGTACCATCTTGGTTCCCATCTCCTGCCCTCGTTTTGTTTAAAAAAAGATTCAGGACAGCACTCCCAGGCCACTTTGGTCTCAGTGTAAGAGCCCTGTTAACTATCTGGAAGGAAAATAGAGCTGAGACCTCTGGTCTTAAATATATAGGAATTGCCTTTCATTAGTCTTCAGGACTATTGTGTGAAAACAAGTAGGGGTCTAATCTCCTAGGAGGTAGGGGGCTTTTATCCTTGAAGAGAGTATGTCCCCAGATTATTAGCACTTTTAGAGGAGAAGCCAAGGTATATAGGGTGTGTGGCCGGCCCATCAGTGGAGCATGAGAGAATGGGGTACCATTGTGGGAAGAAAAGAAAAGTTCCTCAGGGGCCTCCCACTGCTAAAGCTTTTTTTGAGATGTTATCTGTGCTCCCTGGGTTTGACTTTGAAAGGAATTATTCCAGCAGTACATGTAGTATTCTTGGATGATCTTGCTGCTCTTATTTCTCTTGTGTGTTTGTGTGTGGCTATGAGTTTTCATTTGTAACTCCATCTGCTTAGGAGAGCGGACTCTACAAGGGAGCTTGCTGTGAGCTTCATTGCAGCAAGGATGTAGAGAGAGAGGACTTAGTCCACTAGGGGCTTTCATCTCACACCTTAAGGATGAGGAGATTTCTAGATTAGGCCAGATTTTTGTTTTTCATTTTTTTAATGCGGCAAGCTGGTTAGTGTTTCTACTCTGACCTATGTTGTTTCTTTATAATGTGCCCTTAAAGAAAATAATCTCCCCGGCCAGTTGTCTCTTTACTTTGTTCCTTGATCCCTCTGTTTCTTCTTGGTATCACCCTTGTCAGATTCCTAATTTTGTGTATGGGTTAGCAGATTTAACCTTTCAGTTTCTGCTCTATACAGAGGAATCCTCAGATCCTGGTTTTGCTAGACTGAGAGGAATTCATGAGGTGCTATCTGGCCAGACTTAAGTAGATTCTATTTCTTTGGTTCTCCCCACCCCACCTCCACCCCAGGACCTCTCATTTTATTGTCTACTCTTCTAGATATCCTTTGATTTGGATATGTTGAGGTTTATTGAGAAAGAGGTTGGAGCAAAAGTTCTAAGGGTGAAATTACAGTGTGTTAAGAGTGTGGGGGAAAATTAGTCTTATTTTTCCCTACATGGGATATAACACTGTGAAATTCAGTCTTCAACTGAAGGCCCTGCAGATCTCCTAAAACATAGTTCCTTATTTCTTTAACAAAGTTTAAGCTAGCGTTAATAAATTAAGAGAAATTGCTTGTCTCTCCACCTCAGCTTTGTTTTATGCCCATTTCATATTGTTGTCTGTGTTGTAATTCATACTTTTGATACCATTTCTGATGTGTAAAATTGGTCGTCTTGTAAATATCTTATAAAGAGTTCAATTGTAAATAAACTATTGTGGCTGTTCATTTTTGAATTTTTGCCTCAGTTTATTAGATTGTTGGAAAACATGAAATCTGCTTGTATATGAAAGATTAGAAGAAACCTATTTCCCAATAAAATAGAATAACACATTATTTGCCCCTTTTTATAAGGGACTGAATCCATTTGTGTATGAATACAATGCATGTTTCATTCCTCTTTGTCTTCAGCTCTTCTTTGCACATAATTGGCAACTTTAAAAAATTAGTATTTCCCAGCACTTGGGAGGCAGGCAGATCTCTCTTCAGTTCAAGGCCAGCCTGGTCTACATAGTGAGTTCCAGGCCAGTTGGGGCTATAGGGAAACCCTGTCTCAAAAGACCAAAAAAAAAATAATACTTGGCCAGTCACGGTGGAGCACACTTGAGAGGCAGAGGCAGGTGGACCTCTGTGAGATCAAAGCTAGCCTGGTCAATATAGTGAGTCCCAGGACAGCTGGGGCTACAGGGAGATGCTGTCTCAAAAGACCAAAGAAAAAAAACCAAAACAAAACCACAACAGTTGGCCAGACCCTCTAGGTCATCTATTCTTAGTCCCTGATACCTGTTTTCTGGATAACATTCCAGACGATGGAAATCCAGCCTGTTTAAACCCAATGTCTCGTGTGTGTGTGTGTGTGTGTGTGTGTGTGTGTGTGTGTCCTCTACCACATATCTTTGTGTCTATGAGTGGTCTGCATGCATGTATGTGCCCCCATGTCCTGCAATGCCTGCAGAGGCCATAAGATGGCGTTGGATACACTGGAACTGGAGTTATGGATGGTTGTCAGCACCATGTGGGTCCTCTGCAAGGCAAGAGCAGCCAGTGCTCTTAACCATGAGCCATCTCTCCAGCCCTTGAAACTAGTGGTTCTTGTTTTGCCTTCTAGGGGATGAAAAAAGATTGAGGTGAGCCTGGGCTTCATAAGACCGTTTCCTGTCTCAAACAAAAAAAAAAGCTTGACTCAGAACAGGATATGGCAGTGCACACCTGTAACCCCAGCACCTGGGGAGGCTGAGGTGGGTAGAAATGAGACTGGCATAGGTCTTAGACCCTGTTTAAAAAAAAGCTGGTCTCAAACCAAACAACTAAAGGACAAAGTGGCAGTCTATCCCTTTTCCTTATTTGGATACTAAATTTGGCAGCCGCCTTGCACCAAGATAGTTTGTGATGGAGAAGATTTGCCAGGCCTTTAACACGACATCATGCATCCTCCATTTTGAATTTAGGCAGTTTGGTTTGGAGCTGGAATTAAAAGTTACAATTTGACCACCTGTCTCTCCAATTGAGAGACCCAGTCTCTGGAGGCATTCATAACTTTTTCTATAAATTTGGTAGAGGGCTCTTTAATCATTTATGAATAACTCAATCTTGTTATATCATGGTGATTTGATACATACTATTAATGTGCACTAGTAATTTGGCTCACAAACTATGTTGCAAGGTAACTTTTTTTTTTTTTCCACTGCTGACAAATACTTTACCTAAAACAAAGCATTTCTGTCTGGTAACTCTTAATAAGGAAGTCACATCAGGATTTTAAATCAACAGGAGGTGTCTACTGAAACCTTAAAAAAAAAAAAAAAAAAAAAAAAACAAAAAAAAAAATCTTTTCTTTTGGGGGGCATGATGGTGCACACATGTAATTCAGCACTTA